TGTTAAGGACACATTGTGAGAGGTGGAGTGACCTTTCACCTCCAGTCTTCATGAACTGTGGCTTTTTATAGTTTGATTAGAGTTTTTACCCTCAATACACTCTGATATTGGTTGGTTCTTTGAGTTTTCTTCATGTTTTTCTTTGAATAATGTTTTTCCTGTCTCTTCCAGTCTCTCTCACTTGCAGAAGCTTGTAATGTTCTCTTCTTCATTCATTATTAACTCTCCCAAGGTTAGACAAACTGAAGCAGAATAAAGCCTCTAATCTCCTTTCAGGCACTTAATTCCTGCTGTCTCCTGCGCATTTAGTCTGTCTTTCAGACTAATTGGCGTCGTTCCCTTATTTTTTGTCTTTCGTCAATTTTTCTTTACAAGCAAATCATTAAAACCTTTTAATTTCTCAATACCAGGTCAAGGGTACATTGTTTCATTTGTTCTGTAGGATTACATATTGTGTGCTTGAGAGTCTTTTCGCATGAGAGAAAAGAGAGAATTGAATTTTACTCCCTAAACCTCCCTAACAAAACTATGCCCAATTTGTCATAGTGAAATAGAAATGAATTAAAACATTTTTTTTTTATTATTAAAAATACTGACAAGACTGTCTGTTTGTTTATTTCTGATTTCAAGATTCAGATTCAGGTTTGTGGAGATCCTCTTCTGTAATATGTAATGTACAACCCCAATTCCAGAGAAGTTGGGACATTTTGTAAAATGCAATAAAATCAAGAATCTGTGATTTGTTCATTCTCTTTAACTTTTATTTAACTGACAAAAGTACAAAGAAAAGATTTCCAAAGTTTTCACTGACCAACGTAAATGTATTTTATAAAGTTTTGCAAGCAAAATTTTTGTCCAGTCTCGCTTGATACAAGACTTCAGAAACTCAGCAGTCTGTGATTGTCGTTGTCTGATTCTCTTTTTCATGACTGGTCATACATGTTCAATTGGAGACATATCTGGACTGCAGGTAGGCCAGTCTAACACATTCACTCTGAGTCTACGAAAACATGCTGTTGTAGCACATGCAGAATGAGAGCTGGCATTGTCTTGATCTAATAACCATGGACTTCCCATGAAAGACATCATCTTGATGATAGTACCAGTATATATCTCTGTACAATCCCAATATATGCCTCCATGTCAATAGTACCTTCGTACATATGCCAGTCACCCATGCTGTTTGCTCTGACCACAGTCTGCTGCTGCATCAAGAAATGCAACTTGAATATCTGTTACTCTAGGAGAAAGCTATACATCAATTCTATGCAGCAATGCTGCCGGGTTCTCTGGGCCAGAGCTCATCTCAGATAGTCAAAAAGACAGTGAAAATGTGTGCTGTACTCAGATGAGTCCACATTTCAACTTGTTTCCAGGAAAAATGGATTTCGAATTCTCAGTCCCAAAGACCAAAGAAACCATCCAGACTTTCATTAGCGACAGAAGCAAAAGCAAACGTCTGCCATGGTGTGGGGGTACAGAAATGACAGTGGTTTTCTGAAGTACTCCTGAGCCCATGCGGCTATATTTAACACCGCAGCATGATTGGTTCTTATGCAATGCCATCTGAGGGCTCAAAGGTCAAGCACATTCAACTGAGGTTTCCTGCCTTGCCCTACATGTACTGTGATTTCTCTGGATTCCCTGAATCTTTTCACAATATGATGTATGGTACTTGATGAAAGACCTAAATTCTTTGCAATTTTGCATTGTGAAATGTGATTTTTGATTTGTTTGACACTTCTCTCGTGAAATTTGGCACAAAGTGATGAGCCGTGATCTAGCTGCTTGCAAAGACTGAGATGCTCCTTTTATACAAACATGATACCTTGACCTATTACCAATTCACCAGCTTACTGTGAACTGTTTCAAAACAGTTTAATGTGGATATTCTATAACCTTTTCACTTTTATTTTGCCTCTGTCCCAACTTTTTTGGAATGTGTTGCAGCCGTCAAAAACAAAATTTGTTCATATTTACAGAATACATTTACATTGATCAGTGAAAACTTTGGAAACCTTTTCTTTGTACTTTTGTCAATCAAAATAAAAGTTAAAGAGAATTAACAAATCACGTCCCAAAAACGTCCCAACTTCTCTGGAATTGGGGTTGTACTATAGGTATTACCCTGGAAAGGAAAAATGAAAAATTTGTCTGAAAAATCTTGGCTGATGTATAAAATCTGATACTCAATGCATATGCAACCTTTTTTTTTATGGAACACTTCACTGAACCTTCAGACAAAAAAAAAATAAAAATGTGTTCACATATGCAAAATAAAATGCATATGTGTTGAGTATCAAATTTTATACATCAGGCTTTTGTGACTCATATAATGTACTATATGGAGCTCATACTCAAGGTGGGAAAAAACACCTCAGTTTTATTAAGACCCCAAAAATATGCAGTTTGGTGCAGTTGCTGATAAAAGAAGATGAAATTGTGATAGCTTCTGATAAATACTACTTGTCAATCTATATTTCCAAATATGTCTGATATAATAAGATGATAGTTTAGTTTTATGATTTTAGTTTTACGATCAAAGCTCCATAAACTTTATTTTGGGGGCAAACATATAATGCATGCAGTACAATGATGATTAAGAGATAAACATTCCTCAGCAGCCTGGTGTATTATATTTGATACTTACATTTTAACTTGATTATTCTAAAAAATTATGTATGGATAATCAAAAAAACAAACAAAGTTGCTTCAGTCTAGTAAGTGTTTATCTTAAACTATTGCTAATAATAAAAAAGGCATTCTTATATGTTTACTTCCTAAAACTTCAAAGTTAATATTTCACAGCAAAAAGACTTGAATGTTTAGAAGTACATTAAAAGGCCCCTTACTTACTAAAAAAGTTAGAACTATTACTAGGCATGTACTAAACATAACAGGTTTTTTTCACCAAAGTTTTGATCATGTTTATAATTTTGAGGCCTTAGACATTTTTTCTATTATATATGATACAGTAGGCAGTCAATGAGCATATATATGCTAAAGAGGAATTAATACATCTTCAGCTTTTAAAAAATCAAGATTGGTTCATAAAAATGGTTGGCCTAGTGTCTGTAAATATTCGTTCGAAACAGTTTAACAGACTCTTACACTGTTCAGTGGATATCATGAGTCCCACAATGGATCCGTCAACCCATCTAGCCCTAACTTTCATCAGTGTAGCTAGGGCTCAGTGTACTATACGTCCAGCAAAGAGATGGGTGAACAGAACACAAACAAAAAGCAGAATGCTACTGACAGAGACAGCAAAACAGCACTGTCAGCCTGTGCTCAGCAGAACACAACACTTTTGTAGCCTATTTATCAATATGACCAAGGGTCAGAAAATGATGAGCACTGTCACCTTTGTGTGGTAAAAACAAAACCTCAACAGAAAATGCTCTATTAAGAACAGACAAAACACTGATTTCTATCTGTGTGTACTGGAAAGGACTTTATTGTTATAGTGTGCATATTTGAACTTTTTCATATATATTTGTCACTTACAAGTAAAAGGACAGTTTTGTAGTTGTACACATTATTCTGTAAACATCACTCAGAAATGCCAGAGCTGCTCCATTTACATTCATGTGGTTACGTCACCCCCGGTTACACGGAATAATACATTTCTGAATATTTATATCTTTACCGACATCACACAGCATGATATAACAGTAGACACTTTGCTTAAAATGTTTTACATTCACGTTTTATAAAGAATTTGATACATACAATATTAGATATATAACAAAAGAATATATTTGTATCTCTTTATATGTCGTAATCCACATAAGTTGCTTGCTTCATGTTTTCTGTCATTTTTTCTATTTCAAATGATTCTACACAAATAAATAAAACACAAACCAACATAATGGGAGTTGATTTTGAAACACTTTAAAATGTTAAAACAATTCCTTCAAGCAAAAAAGCCACAGTGAATCACAAAATGTATACGTCATCTTGAGACAAAGAGAACCATATAGACTATTGATTTTGACTAGTTTGAAAACCTAAGAGACCTAATCTGTTATCTATACTCGCACACAGACACACACACATTCCATACAAGGCATGAAATGCTCAAAGGGACCACATGATAATGGGATTGTACCACAAGAGCTCAATTAATTGAATTGTCAGTGTACAGTGTAAAAAGATTTTCAATGTCATGTCAAATAGAATTCAAACTAAATAAGCTAAACCCCTGCCTAGTGTATTTGAACATAGCTGCTTTACATGGTCAACTGGACTTTCTTGAGTTTCAAATATAATGTTCTTTTTCTTTGATCTGATGCTTTTGAATCTCTTGAGGGGGCAAAAATGTCTTGTGCAAGGTCGCGAATTTGTCACAATAATAATTGTTGCTCTGATCCAAGGCCATAAGTAAAGCATAAAAGTTGATCCACTGACTCGAAACACTAAAAATCCCTTTTCTTTAATATTGAACTATAACAAAAGAAGAGCTTTTAAGCTCTACTTGAGGCAGATCATTGGATCTCAGTTCATTTTGAAAGCTATGAGCGTAAATTGAGCGTCCTTTGGCATGGAGTAAATTGAGACTCTCTTTCAATGAGATGCTTTAGTTATGAAGAACATCCCTGCACTCTCTTCATGAGGATGAGTTACTTAATGACAGGAAGTTTATGGCTAGATAAGGCACTGACACAGTGGTGTATGTCTGCTTTGTGAGGTGTGTCAAAAAGGGAAAAGATGTGCTTGAAAAAATGCTTGGTGGACCCTTGATGTAAGCCAGCTGTTGCAAAACCAAACCATTCTTGGGAAACGAGGTAAAATGTGAGAAACTCACAGCTGCGCTCTAACATGTACTGTAGCAATGACTCAAAATGCTCCAAACCTGTTATATGGCATAAAAGATTTCCTGGAATATCAAGGGGGTTTCCATTTCTCAGTGTGTTACGTAAACCTCTACAACTTGCACTATGAAATAGGGTGTAAGGAACACAAATGGAGCAGACTGGACAGTACAGTGTGTGGTTGGGAAATGCACAAAGCCGTTGCTTCATTCTGTCCTTTTCTCAGGGGACACTTTTCAAACGGTAAAAGACCTTTGCAGAAACATTTTCTCTCTCTCACACACCATATCTTCTCCAGTATTCAAGTAGCATTTGAGAGGTCACTCCCACCTGACCCCTTCATCAGATGGATAACCAATGTCTGAGCTGGAAAAAAACCCAAGACCAAACGTACAATAGAAAAACCGTGAGGATGTTGCTCTGTGACATGCAATTCTCTTCAAATAAATATCGGTAAGATGTAATTGTATTTGTACCTTTTGCATTGTCTTACCTTGAACTGCCTGACATTACCCTCCGTCACCATGTGATGTTCATGTTCTGGAGTAATGCAGTACACTATCCTCTGAAATGGAGGACATTAAAAACCAAAAGTGAACTAGCAGAAATAAACACACAGCAATAATAAACCACAAATTTAAACAAAAACTTCATTATCGGCTCAGAAACAGATGGCAATGTGGCATTTTATTCTGCATATGTTAGATGATCTCTGAAGCCATTTAAGATAGCATGCTGCTTGTGGAAAATATGAGTATGTAAGCACTGAGCCAGATGTCAGTAGCATGTTTGTGGCTTTGGGAAGTGATGCATTTAGAAATGAAAACATCTCTCAGTTTTAGGACCACACAAAGTCATGAAGCAGATTTAAGTCATGGACAGATTTATTGAGGGCATTCAATGTATGATGAGATTGAAACAAGGAATCTGCTGGAAGTTCACTCTGCTGGAGTGAAAATGAAGGGGTGTATGAATATAACACCTAATATAATCTGGTTTAATATAAGATTATTTAAAATATAATTCTAAATTTTATTTTTCATATTTCACTTTAAGAACTGGACCTAAGAACTAGATATGAAACAGTGTAGTCTGAAAATGAATGTACTGTATATATCTTCTTTTTTTTTCTTTTTTCTTTGTTTCCTTTTTCAACTATAAATGTGTCACTTGCCAGTGTGCGTGTGTGTGTGTGTGTGTGTGTGTGTGTGTGTGTGTGTGTCTGTCT